CAGGTGCCTTTTAAATGTTGTAATTGTACCAGGCTCCACCACTTCCTGTGGCAGCTCATTTCCATACACGCACCACCCTCTGTGTGAAAAAGTTGCCCCTTTGGTCCCTTTTAAATCTTTCCCCTCTCGCCATAAACCTACGTCTCTAGTTTTGGACTCCCATACCCCGAGGAAAAGACCTTGGCTATTTACCCTATCTATGGCCCTCATGATTTTATAGACCTCTATCCCCTGACACTCCAGGGAAAATAACCCCAGCCTGTTCAGCCTCTCCCTGCAGCTCAACCCCTGGCAACATCCTTGTAAATCTTTTCTGAACTCTTTCAAGTTTCACAACATCTTTACTGTAGCAGTGAGACCAGAATTGAACGCAGTGTTCCAAAAGTGGCCCTAACCAATGTCCTGTACAGCCGCAACATGACCCTTGCAACTTCTACACTCAATGCACTGACCAATAAAGGTAAGTGTACCAAACGCCACCTTCACTATCCTATCTACCTGTGACTTTACTACAAGGCGCCATGAATCTGCAACCCAAGGTCTCTTTGTTTGGAAGCACTCCTGGGACCTTACTGAGAAGTGTATAAGTCCCTGACATGGTGTGGGACTGCTGCGGCACTTTAAAGGCTGCATCCTCCCTCACAGTGATGGCATGGCAGTGGGAGTAGGAGTAGAGAGTGTGGAGTGGTGCAGGGGGGAGCTGTTACCTGTGATGTTTGTCGGGGGTTTCTACAGCTTGTGTAAACAGCTGGTTGCCTCTCGCAGGGACGAAGTGGCGAAGAGATTTGACGGGAAGCTAAGCAAGCAGATGTCGGGGCCTCTCTATGAGGTGGTGAGCCGCATCATGAAGTCACTGGTCAGTCGCAAGATCACCGTGCCCGGGAACTTTGTCGGGTAAGTGGTGTTGGGTTTTGGTGCAGTTCGGGGGGAGTGGCGTTCACCTCCAGACCTCATGCACAGAAGGAGAACATTGCGCCCGTCATGTCTGCACTGTCTCTCCAAGTAAACGATTCAGCACTTTCTCCCTGTAACTCTGCATGTTGTTCCCTTTCCAATCGCCCTTTTTACAGCCTCAAGTGACCCAGCCTACCCCACTCCCCCCCACACTCAGGCAGCACGTTCCAGACCCTACCCCCTCAGGTTTGATGTTGTCCCCTGTGTAACAGACGCTGCACCAACATTTCGGAGCCTGTGCCCATATGCAGTGACACATTGAAGCCCAGCTGTGCTTTCTGTCCCTGCATTTGTTTCTCCCAGGCAGAGACTGATTTGTGCTGCTTGTAGTCGCTGTGTTCACTGCTCTAGATGTGCTGTTTAAAGGTACAAAGGAACCTGGGTGTGCTGGTCTGTGAATTGCAAAAGGTTGGTGTCCAGGTGACTGGGACTGACTGATTTGTAATTTCTTGCTCAGGAAGTGAAATACCACAACGAAGACACGTTGCTGCAGTTACCAACCACATCAGTGAGGCCACACCTGGAGTACAGCGTACAGTTTGTTTTTGTTCATGTTTTTTGCATCCCTTGAACCAGAAAGGAGTCACGAGGACAACAATTGCGAGCCTGCACTGCCCTTCCCTGGTGCCAGTCTCCTGCACCCCCCACCAACCCCTGAACCCCATTTCTTTCCAAATAACCCCTTTGTGAATGCCTCAATTGAACCTGCCTCCCCCACATTTCCAGGCAGTCCATTCCACAGCCTAACCACTCACTGGGTGAGAGAGATTTTACACTCATCACCCTTGCTTCATTTGCACATCACCTTAAATCTGTGGCCCTCTCATTCTTGTTCCTTTTACGATGGGGAACAGATTCTCCCTTGCGACACTCCAGCCCCTGCTCGTGATTTTGAAAACCCACTATTAGATGTCCATCTCAACCACCTCTCTAAGGAGAACGGTCCCCAACTTCTTCAATCCATCCTCATTGCTGAAGTTTCTCCTCCGAATGTAACAGCAGCAGGATTGGGCCATCTGGCCCCTTGATCCTGCTCCTCCGTTCAATAAGATCATGGCTGATCATTTCACGGACACAGCTCCGCTTACCTGCCCGCTCACCATAACCCTTAATTCCTTTACTGTTCAAAAATCTATCTGTCTTTGCCTTAGAACCATTTAATGGGGAAGCCTCAACTGCTTTACTGGGCAGGGAATTCCACAGATCCATAACCCTTCGGGTGAAGAAGTTCCTCCTGAACTCAGTCCTAAATCTGCTCCTCCTTATCTCGAGGCTGTGCCCCCTAGTTCCTGTTTCACCCACCAGTGGGAACAACCTCCCTGCTTCTACCTTATCTATTCCCTTCATCATTTTATATGTTTCTATCAGATTCCCCATCGTTCTTCTAAATTCCAATGAGTATAGTCCCAGACTACTCGATCTTTCCTCCTCAGCCAAGCCTGCTCAGCTGCGGAATCAACCCAGTGACCCTCCTCTGTGCCCCCTCCAGGGCCGGCACATCAGGTCAGGAGACCAAAACTGTACACAGTGCTCCAGATGTGGCCTCACCAGCACCTTTTACAGCTACAGCATAACCTCCTTTGGTTTCATCCCTGGAGCCATTCTTGTAAATCGCTCCTGCACACACACTCACAAATGCGTCCACACCTTTCCTGTAATGTGGTGCCCACAACTGCACGCTACTCCAGCTGAGTTCTAACTTGCCTTGCTCAAGTTTAATGTTTTCTCTGTCTCTCTCTCTCTCTCTCTTTCTCTTTTATTCCCCATCCCTCTCACCCAACAGTAATTCCGGAGCTCATTGCATCTCCTGTTCTTACAAGGCCAGCTCTGGTCTCCTGTATCCCCTTGAAAGGGGCTTCATTTATGTCCACAAGCCCCCTGTTCACATCCGCTTCGACGAAATCTCCCACGTCAACTTTGCCCGAGGGACCACCACCACCCGGTCTTTTGACTTTGAGATTGAGACCAAACAGGGCAGTCTGTACACTTTCAGCAGCATCGAGAGGTGAGTGAGGGTATGGGGGTGCTGATCGACTGGGGGAGGCAGCCTGTACACCGGTGCGTG